CAAATGTCCAGTTTTAGGGTTTTACACAGAATTAAACCAAACAACATGAATCAAACATGCACTTTATTTATTTCCACTAAATAACAAAAGTACATCAAAATGATTGAAGCTAAGGGCATACAAAACTGTCTAACACTCCCAACAGTCTTTTCACTGTCCATTCTATCACAGTATTGCGGTCTTAGAGCTTCTTGGGAAACTGGAGAAAAGACTTCAGGCACAGAGCAAACATTAGTAACCAAAACTGAAATGACATTTGTACCTGGATTTGGCGAGGGAGGAATCTCAGCAACAATGGTCTGGTTTGTTATTTTTTCCTGTCTAGAAACCTGGAGTTTACTAGCCACCAAATTTGGAGATTTTGCTTGGAAATCTTCTGTACTTAAATTCAACTTGTGACCATTCTCGCGGCCCTCTTCCATATCCGTAACTGGAAGTTCCCCACTTGTCCACAGGTTGATCCTATCAAATCCCTTACAGACACCCTGCCTATGAGGAGAATTTGGTTTTGGCATCTGTTTATTAGAGCTTCGGCTTCCCTTCCCTACTACCTCCTGATACTCCACCTTGTTTGATCCTCTAGACTTCACAGTTAGATCCAGAGTTGAGGCCTCTGGTAGCCCTCTCTCTTCATCTGTGAAAAGAAAGGAAGCATTCAGATGATCTTCGATTTCTTGCATGAGACTTGCATCTTCCCTACACTGTCTTCCAAATAGTCCAACTCTAAATCAGACTCCTCATCTTCTGCCTGTTCACAGCTCACCCATCTTTTATCCTCATTGTCCTTCTCGTCAGAGCGGTTTCTAGTGCTTCACCTTGGAAAGCGATTCATAAGTTTCTCCACTATATTCCAATCATATCAGGTAACAAAATTAATTTTTGGGATGATTTATCGGCGGGTGAAGCTTCTCCGAAGGCTTTGTTTCCATCACTGTTTGCCCTTTCTTCCTTCAAAGGCAAACCAATCTTTGAGTTCTTAATCCCCTCTCCCTCTCTCTTTCTAGTTTTGGGTGGAATTTGGGCTTTTTGCAGAAATGTGAGGTTTTTATGACTAGGCCTTGTTTCAGATCTCTTACAAGTTTAATGGTGAAACTGCTTATCATATTCTCATTTCCTGCCCTTTTGCTTGCCATAGTTTTCAAGGTGCCAAGGCGAGTCTAGGCAATAGGGGGGTGTCTTGTCTCCTAGTCGGGCAATGGATTTTTTAGGTAAAAAACATAGATCCTAGGGTAGTTCCCTAGTAGACCTGTTCATGGGCCGGGTAGCCTGATGGGCCAACCCGATCTAAGTCGGGCTTGGACAAGATGTCAGGTCCACGGGCTCGGGCTTTCTCAAAAAAGCCTGGCCTAAGCCCGAGCCTGACTTGATAATGTATTTATATAATAAAAATATATTTTATAATAATGTATTTTTTCTTTATTATTCTTACCTTTTTTCATGTAATAGTGAGATCTTTTATTATTTTTTAGGTTTTTAGGTCTTTTAATATAAATCAAACAGTTTTTATTGAATAAAAAAAGAAAAAAATCTTTTCCATTTTTTTTTTGAGCTCGGGCCCAGGCTTCAGGCTTTATATAAGGGCCGGGCTTGGGCTCAAGACCTAGGCCCACTAGTCAGGCTCGATCCTGGGTATATTCTGTTAATACAGAGAAAGCTCGGCCCAAACCCAGCCTGGCCCGACCCATGAACAGGTCTAATCCCTTGGTACCATAACCTTATTTCCTTAATATTATTCATAATTTTCATAAGAAAGGTATAAAGTTCATGTTAAAGTATAGAAAATCAACTATATTCATGAGAAGAAAAAGAAGAAAGAAAAGAAAATTGAAAAAATATAGGGGCTGAGCCATTATTTTTGTTATAGGAAAAGAAGGAAAGAGAAAAGTAGAAGATATGGAAGATATGGAAGATATGGAAGATATGGAAGATATGGAAGAAAAAGTAGAAGGGCACTTTGTTGCCTTGACAAATATGTTGCTTGCTGTATTTGGGATTGGTTTTTCTCTCTTTGGATGCAGGTGTAACACCCCTGACAGCTTGGACAAGTTGCTTGATATTCTACTTTCAGGTGGCCAAAAGGAAAGGGGAGAATACTTTGGAGATGCATGAGGGCAGCAGTGATTTATACAATTTGTGAGGAAGGAAACCTGATAATCTTTGAGGAGAAGAAAATAAGGAAGTTTTGATAGAAGGGATTATGGTAAAAGTGGCACATTGGGTAAAGTTTTTGAGTTTATTCTGAGACTTTATTCTTGATGATGTAACCAGGAATTGGGGAAAAGTTGCAGCTTCATCCTCTTCCAAGAAAAAAATCTCAAGGGCTTGGGATCCTTCCGAGAATGACTTCCTTAAATTAAACTTTGATGGAAGCAGCTTTGGTAATCTGAGTCCTTCTGGAATTGGAGGGGTGATAAGAAATGAAAAATGGGGTAATTGTGGACTTGTATTCAGGCCCTATTGGCACAGGAGGTTCCACAACAGCTGAGTTGAATGCAGTGGTTTTTGGGATGCAGAATGCTTTGGAAATGGGGGGGGGAGAAAGTTGGTAGTTGAAACAGTTTCCAAAGTAGTCATAAGCTGGTTGAAACAGAACGAAAAAACTCCTTGGTACTGCAGAAATGAAATCAAACTGTTTAGAAGACTCTCAAGGGACATGCAACTGTTAATTCAGTGGATTCCAAGGTTGGCCAATGGTCTTGCAGATCAGTTAGCAAAGCAAGGGGTTAATAGGGAATAGTGCTTTTGGGCTCAGTTGTAAGATTAAAAAACCAAAGGTTTTCTGGGTTTGGTAAGGTTTAAGTTACTGCCGGGGGGTGGGGGGTAGCTGAGGCTACCCATGAGTTGTAATTGTTCTTTTATTTTCATTAATTAATAAAATTTATTCCTGTTTCTGATAAAAAAGGATATATCCTTAGACACAGTATTGATTATTGACTATAGATACAACTTTGCTACATTACATTCTTTGAACTACCCAACAAGCCAACTTTGCTACAAAAACTACCCTATTTTGGCCACGTGAAAAAAACATGGTCAACCTGAACAATCCTTGAGATAGGAGCATTCTGCATTGGCCATTTGTTCAATCGACCAATCCATGTCAACCATATTTCCCACTTTGTATTGGCTTTCCATAAACTGTCTTATCATGTGGAAAACTCCTGGTCTTTGCTAAACAGTTCAACTAGTGAGTTTATATGGTGGATATCTTTGTACCTGCATTCAGCCTTGATTCAGCATATTATGGAGATCTATGTTTTTAGAAAGTCAAATGTCATCATTGAGGATTTACATATATGTGCTCATGTGTGTGAATCTGATGCTGGTTTTATTTCTTTGTTTGCTAAACAGAGTGCATATTTAGGGTAGTGATGTTAGGGTCCTTGGTTGAGCTACTAATGAAAATGAAAAGATTCTAAGCTTAATACTGCATGGGTAATAATGCTGAGCCATCTACATGCACCAATTCACTCATTGGCGCAGTCATTGTTTTTCTATGTACATGACCAGACCATCTCACTAATTGTGCTAATGTTCTTCCTTTTTCCTCTGATTTATATTCAGGGCTACTTGATAATGTTATAAGTGATTACCTATGGGCAAAGGCTGTTCTTCTGACAACAACGACAGTAGCAACGGCTGGCCTATCAATTCAAGTTCCCTTGGCAGCTTTGATAGATACTCTAAAAGGGAATGCCCCTCGTCCCATGGATTACCTTGGTGCTGCAGCTGTCATGGTTGGCTTTGCTGGCATCAACATTCCCTCTGATGCTTGTTCCAGCACAAAGGATGTGTTTTTAGAGGAGGACAATGCTAAAATGCCTGATCACAACCAAAGCTTATCGATTAGTAAAGATGCAGTTGCCATCTCTTAGTGTGTGGCTGCTGATTTCTCTTAATAATTTCTGCATTCCAAACGCCATATTAATTAACCTTCTCATTCACAACATCTTTGAGAAATCTTGTAAGTATTAATTTTGTTCACATGTACAATTTTACAATGAGTTAGGATAGCAAAAGTTCTTATAAAGGATGTGTTTTTTAGAGGACAACCTCTTTCAAATATCAGAACCATATCTTACCAATTTGTAAAGATCCAGTTGCCATCTCTTAGTGTGTCGGCTGCTGGTTTTTCTTAATGATTTCTTCATTCCAGTGGTATGAAATAACCCTCTCAATCATAATATCTTTGTGAAATCATGCAAGTATAAATTCTGTTAGCATGTACAATAGGATGGCAAAAGATCTTGAGAGCAAGTGTGTTACCCAATCTTTTTCCCCATGGGTTCAAGGAAAAAAGTATGCGGGAAGTGCAGAGGAAATAATGGGAAAATCTATGTACCGGAAAGACATGGTACACCAATCAAAGCACTCCATTTTAATGGATACCACCTGATTGGTCACCATATAACATAGCAGTTGGTTTTCTGTGAGCTTTTCCTGTCTTCCCTCTTTCACAGTTGAAGCCGAAAAAAATTAGCCAGAGAAAAAACAATAAGGGTAAACGATTATGACTACGATATCTGAACGGCATGATACCTAAAAACTAATAACAAATCAACTGGTAATATAAGTGGTAACCATCAAAGTTCTTCGGCTGCTAGGTTGGTTACAAGTTTTGTTTGTTTGTTTGTTTTTTTATCATGTCTTTTCGGTATTATAGTCAAATATGAATATTTATATTGTAAAAATTATATATATATAATATATAGTGTGGTGGTTGGTTCGTGGTTTGAAAAAAGGGTGATTTTGTTTTAGAAACATTCCACTTCGAAAATAAAATTATTAGTTCCGAACCATTATGAGCATTTTGTAATGAATGGTTGTGGTTGTGTTTTGAACCACATAGGACTAGGGGTGCAACCATGGGCAAAATTCTGAAATTGAATTGGTCCTAAGGCTGCGTTTGGAAATGATGCAAATATGTGTGAATGCAAATATGTAGAGTGTAAAATGGTTCATATAAATTGCAAAGTTGGGTTAGTTTTGCATCGATAAATTTACCTTCTTACCAAACAGACTTTTAGCTGTAATGGATGCAAACATGAATTCCAATAAAGCATACGTTTTTTTTAATCAAAAGCCCACTTGAATGCAAATTTACTTCTTTTTCATTGATGTACTTTTACATCTTATTATCAATGTAAATATGCATTGGTCTGTCATTTGTCAATGCAAAAATGTAATATTGCCAAATACAGGCAAAAGTAAACAAGAGTGTAAATTTACCCTGAACCGGGATTTATACTCCATTTGCATCATTTCCAAACGCAGCCTAAAGTTTTATTTCTTGAATCAAAACTGAACTGGATCAATTAGTTGATTGATTTTGGTTTTTGGCCAGTTTGGTTCTTTGTGAAATGTGTGCTGTAAATGCATTTGGGTCTTTCAAAGGATTTGATTCAAGACTGTTTCACCATTTTTCAGAAGTACATGCCTTATAGGCACTATGTGTCGATTCAAATCCACAAAACATTGCTGCTAATTCATTTTGCTTTTCGAAGAATGCCTAATTCATCTTCTAATTTGAATCATGTGGGGGATCATCGGTACTTTATTGGTTTTGTGATTCAAATTAAAAGCTCATTTTTTATCAATAACAAGTAACTTCATTGAACTTAATTTAAAAAGAGATTACATACAAATAGAGGGAGGTAAACTGTCTCAACTCCCCCACAAGCAAAACAAAAATACAATATTAGAAATAAGCCCAAAACAAAGAATCCCTATTCACCCCTTGCTTGGATAGCCCAAAAACAAAAGAATTAGCAGTTCTCTTCACAAGCTGCATTTTATCTCAATATCCATAGTCAGCCATTTGAACTTTTTCCTTTCATTGTTGTAGTTCCATGCAAGGTTCAAAGTATCGTTACGTATCAGCTGATATGTATCGTTCCGGGACCCTTCCGATATGCCCCTACAGTGGGTGTATTGGGGGTTTGACCGGTTCAGGGGATGGAGGGGTCTTAGACCAGCTCCCCTGAACCAGTTTTGAAAAAAAATAAAAAAAGGTAAACAAATGAGTATCGAAACGCCCGATACGCCCCTACCGGCGTATCGGGCGTATCAATATTTTGAACCTTAGTTCCATGTTCCAGTCATATCTTCGTTTAACCATCTTACCACCACTTTCAAATCATATTCAATTACCAACCTCCTAATGTTAAAATCTCTTTCTCTTTGGATTCCTTCCAAGGCCACAAATATCTCAACCATGAGAGAGTCACCTTTTCCAATTGGGCTTGAGAACAAAGCTAAAACATTCCCTTCCTCATTCCTAACCCCCCCCCCCCCCAATAAAGAGTTACTTTCTCTAAGGAGGGGGGAGAGATCCAAGGACCTATGACCCTCTTAATCTAGGCAAAATTTTCTATCTCTTTCCAATTTCTCAGTAACTCATCTAAGGTAAAATCTGTGAATAGGTCCAAGGATTTCAGCATTGTGTCACCCTTAGCTTTATTAAGTTCTCAATACTTCTCTCCTTTTCTGAGATGATTCTTGAATTTATTTCTTCCCGTAGAGTCTAAAATACAACAACCCTAATACACCTCCACATGATCCCTCTTTTCACTGGCCAACTGAAAAAAATGGAGAAAAACAAGTTTTGTTCATTCATGGGGGGGGTGGGGGGTCAACTACACCCAATAAGGGAAAAAGCCCATTCCCATAAAGTTTTAGCAAAAAGGCAAGACACTAATAGGTGGTACCCAGTTTCCCCATTAGCTTTGTAGAGAGTGCACCTATTAGAGGATAAACAATCTTAGGTATTTTTCTTTGAAGTAAATCACGTGTGTTGATTCTTTCCAAGAAAGTTTCCCAATAAAAACTCCCAACTTGAGGAGGAATATGTTTGCACTAAACCTCTTTAAGAGGGAAAGAGATCAAGGTTCAAAGTATTGGATACATTTAGCGTATCGGGAAGGCAATTTTAAGATACATATCGAGACATGCTTTAGATATGCATACGTATTGGAGATAAATTAAGATACACATAGGTATAAACATAGGAATACTATAAAAACTTCAATATGACATAAAAATACATCAATAACTAAATATAAGGCTTTAATAAGATATATGCATTAAATTAATATATTTTAATAGAATTTATGAGGAACCGCATCATACTCAACATATGTCATATGTGAACATCTAAACAATGTTTATTAAAATTATAATTGCATCAATATTTAATAATTCAATTCAGCACATATAACATAATTTAACACAAAATATTGATGTCTAAAATTAAAGAAAAACATTTAGTAATAGAAGTGTAAAACATACTGATGCTGCTCGATCCTAGGTAGTGCAAGAACCGAGGTCACAGTCAGATAATCCTTGCCAACTGGGCAGAGCCGAGGTGGAAGGACGAAGCCGCACATCAAGATCTACGGAACAAGAAACAAGTCAAAGGCCCAAGGAGTTGTCCCCGGGTAGGCACTCTCACGCTCAAGTCAGTAGAGGGTAATGGGCGATCGGGCCGAGCAACTAGAGAATAGTGCTGGTCCAAGCAGAGTGACAGTACGGGAGTCAAAATTTGGATCCTTTACCTTGAGTGGGAGGTACCTTCTTATAGCCAAAGGTTCGTGTCTTGGTTGGATGAGGCTTCCGGGGTTACCGGGATGTCTACCCGCTGAGGTCTTTGGGATAAGACTTAATCCCCAACGGAGTTGTCCTCATCTATTCTCTTGTATTGGTCGTGTCTATCCACATGACGTGGAGTCATCGTGGCTAGGAAGGCGGTGTGGGGCCACTGAGGGTGACGCGGTGCTGACGTGGCCGAGGAGATAAGGTAGGCTGCGGCGTGGTGTGGTGCTGACATGGCCAAGAAGATGAGCTGACCACATAGGTGCCACATGGCATTCGGTTCTAGCTCAACCATAACTCGAACACCACTCCCCCAGTTTTGAAGTCGAGGAGTAAAGTGCTCGGCCAAGGTGTAGCGTGGGAGAGGTCTTTAGTCCTTGGCTGAGGAACTCAAAGTTGAAATTTTGTTAAGCTTCTGGTCTGATTCACATGGTCTAAGGTTGGAATGATTCGTCTGATCTGGCCCGGTCGGATCGATGGTCATAGTGTCTTCGAAACAAGTTGTCAGAAGCGTCATTTCGCTTCTCGAGGTTATGCGTGTGCGAAGGGCGGAGATGTCGATTGGTCTTCCTGGGCTTGTCAGAGTGGCACTTGATCTCCGCCATCGATCTTGCTTTGATCCAGCCTATTGGGAGTTATAAATAGGGAGAGAAGAGCATTTCTCCTTCGTCATTTGCGAGATAAATCGCTTAGAGAGCTCGGTGAGGAGTAGTTTGCAGTGCTCGGTGCTTGCTTCATTTCTGCAGTCCGAAGATCGGTAAGATGTCTTCTTTGTCCTTCTGTTCTCATCTTCCTTAGATTCTTCTTCTAGTTTTAGTGCTTTCCATTATGAATCTGAGCCAGGGTCTTTCACCGAGGCCGGGGGTCAAGGGACCGAGGCTGAGGACTTTGAAGGGGTATATTCTAGGAGAGTCACCAAGGCCGAGGAGGCTGAGGCTGGGTTGTCGAGCATGGTGGTAGAGCTTCCTGCGCAGACTGGTCGCCGATTCAGGACCACACCCTGTTGTTTGAATCCTAGGAATATGGCTCGGATCCGAGCTCTATATTGCATTCCCGAGGAGTACGAGCTGAGGTGCCCGCGGAATGGTGAGAGGCCCACAGATGCCTGGCCAAGCGAGCTCTATGTGTACGAAAAGAGTCTGGAGTCTAGGCTAAGGTTCCCTTTGCATGAAGGAGTAGTCAAAGTGTTTGAATGGTACCGGGTTCTGCCATTGCAGTTGATGTCGAACTCCTTTAGGTTTCTAATCGACCTTATGGCGTATTGCTTCGTTCATGGTGTCGAGCTTACCCTGGGGATGGTGAGTTATTTCCTCCAACTGAAGCATCACCAAAAGGGATACTACTACTTTTCAGCCAGGCAGCACATCAAGGTGCTGGTTGGAGCCCCGTCTTCGATGAAGCACTTGAAGGAGGGGTTCTTCTTCGTGCGTTGCCCCGGGGGCTCGCCCCTTCCAGTCGTGCTCTAGGAACTGAGGACTAAAGTGTTGTGACCCAAGTGGTCCCGGATTGCTTGGGAATAGAGGACGGCCATGAACATGATTGAAGAGATTAACGTAATGTTGTACACGTCT